GCAACATGTGATCCTTCAGAAGAACAATGCAAGGCCGCTATGGGCAAAACCAACAGCTGTATAAATCATTCACAGCCTTCTGCTCGCAGAATAAATAAACAGCATGTAAAAATATTAACAGGACGTTTCAAACCTTCAGACAAACCTGAAATTAAAGAGACAAATGTGAACCGTGAAATGAGGTAAAAATTACAAAACACCCTTGTTGTCTCGTAGACAGAGATAACACACATATGTGTATTTATTGATGTCTTAGTGGTGCATAGCACAGGGAAATTTGTTTTTTTTATTTATGTTGGAGGAGATATTACTTGCCATTATTAGTACCTGTTCAATCTCCAGAGCCGTCGTAAAATGGATAGAAAATAGGGAAGAATGATGAGAGAATTATCATAGCATACACTAGGCCTGGAGGAGAACAGGAACCATAAAGTATGGTGTTCATTTTACAGAGGGCTTCAATCACTACGTGCCATGTTTATTGGCAAGCAGACATTTGGCTTTAGTTATGATATTACTGTGTAAAACATTCCTGTAATCTGCCATGTATAATAAATACATTCTTCAGGGATTTTCACACCTTTTTATTGTTTCAAACTGATCAGCCTAGTTATTCAATCAGCCTTTGAATCATCCGTGTATAAATAAAAGTCCGTACAAGCAAATAGAAGAGAATGAGTGCAAGGTCAGGTCATCACTCATAGAACGATCTATATCCTATAACATTACTCCCACTTGCTTTCATTCTCCCTCTCCTCACTATACAAATTCATGACTCCTCCATAAAGATTCTGCATGGACTTTTATAAATTAGCTTGCATTTTCGTTAGTATTACATCCAACTTTACCGTAGGGGGGAAGCTTTGGTTTAATTATGACATGCAAACAGTCAGTTGGAGAATTTTGTGCACTAAAACGTGAATTAAAGCTAAAATTACAAGATAAAAAATGAGTATTAGTATAATAGGGACTTTCAGAATGCCACATCTAAAATAACTAGAGAACATGGAAAAGAACCTGGAGAAAAGAATTACTCTTCATCAGCTCCCAAATATGTACAGACTTCAAAGGCACACCACTTCCTTAGGCCTTTCGTGCGACCGCACGTCATCAGAGGAACATCAACCTCAAGGTTGATGTTCCTCTGATGACGTGCGGTCGCATGAAAGGCCTAAGGAATCAACACACTGCGGCTTAGAGCCGCCGGAGTCTTTATTGGTCCGGTGGCCATCTGGATTTCTTGGTCAGTGTACCATTTTTTACTGTCATTTGTTACATACTAAATTGAATATTTTTCTTTGGCAATATTACGCTATGGGCACTTTCTTTATGGCTCCTTCATAGAGCTTTTAAGTATGCAGACCCTGGGAAGTACTTCACCATCCAGAGAAGGGGAATTCCTGTAATCAGGTGGCTGACCCTGCTGATCTTTGAAGGAGGCCTCTGGAATACTCATCACCCAGTCACTGCTGAGCTGCCCACTTGGAGACGGATGCCCTAGAGGCATACCCTATTCCCTTGACTTTGGATATCTCAATGCGCATGATCCATGCGCTTCTGGTAAGCGCATAATTTGCTCATTTGTCTTTTCATTTTGGAGCACCGCATAGAAAGATACGTTTACTGGCAATACGAACTGTTCTAATTACATATTGAATCTGAATGTGATCATAATCTTAATTTTATCTATTTAGCGCTGCACTATACCACTGTTCATTGATATTCTTTTGTTTATATTTAGTTTGTACTGACATACCCTCCTGGTCCTGATGAAGCTAATTGTGAAATGCGTTAACAGATCTGGATTTGGAGACTTGCCTGTACATATACAGCGAATACTACACTGTGTGCACAATTATTAGGCAAATGAGTATTTTGACCAATCATCATCATCATTTTGACTAAATCATTTTTATGCACAAACTCCAAGCTGTATAAACTTGAATGCTTATTGGATTTGAGCATATCAGGTGATGTATATTAGTGTATTGCGGGAGGGTGTGGCCAGGGGCAGACTTACAACTCATGGGGACCCCGGGTAATAGGGGATCATGGGGCCCCTATGTCCTTGCCCAAACTCAAAAAAGCCTATGAAAAAGATACCAGGGGCATCTCATGGGGCCCCCTACTGACCCCGAGCCCTCGGGCAGTTTCCAAATGGTCAGTCTGCCCCTGGATGTGGCCTAAGAAGATCAACACCCTATATCAAGGTGTGCATAATTATTAGGCTGTTTCTATCCTCAAGCAAAATGGGACAAAAAAGAGATTTAACTGACACTAAAAAAACAAAAATTGTAAAAAGTGTTTCACAGGGATGCAGCACTCTTGAGATTGCTAAGTAATGAGGCGTAATCACAGAACCATCAAACATTTTGTTGCAAATAGTCAACAGGGTCACATGAAACCTGTTGAGAAAATATATGTAAAGTAACTACCAAAGATTTGAGAATAATCAATTGTGAAGCTACCAGGAACCAGGAACCCATTATCCCTCAGTGCTGTCATATTCCAGAACTACAACCTACCTGGAGTGCCTAGAAGTACAAGGTGTTCAGTGCTCAGAGACATGGCCAAGGTAAGGTAGGCTGAAATCTGACCACCACTGAACAAGACACATAAGCTGAAACATCAAGACTGGGCCAAGAAATATCTGAAGACAGATTTTCCAAAGCTTTTATGGACTGAAGACATGAGAGTGACTCTTGATGGACCAGAAGGATGGGCTTGTAGCTGGATCAGTAATGGGCACAGAGCTCCATTTTGACTCAGACACCAGCAAGGTGGAAGCTGGGGTACTGGTATGGGCTGGTATTAATAAAGATGAGCTAATTGGACCTTTTTAGGTTGAAGATGGACTCAAAATCAACTCCAAAACTACTGCCAGTTTTTAGAAGACATTTTCTTCAAGCAGCGGTACAGGAAAAGTCTGCATCTTTTTAGGAATACCACGATATTTATGCAGAACAATGCTCCATCGCATGCATTGAAGTAATCCATTGTGTGGCTAGCCAGTAAAGGCATGAAAAGGTGAAAAAATAATGACATGGTCCCCTTCGTCACTTGACCTAAACCCTATTGAGAACTTGTGGGCCCTTCTTAAATGGGAGATTTATGGTGAAGGAAAACAGTACAGGCAGTCCCCGGGTTACGTACAAGATAGGGACTGTAGGTTTGTTCATAAGTCGAATTTGTTCATAAGTTGAATCAGGCACTTTTATAAGCACTAACTACTAACCAAACGACAGGATATTAGATTACGTTTTTGTAATAAGGTTACAGAAAGCAGTAAAACCTCAAGAGGCTCTAAACTGGTGTTTTGCATAAGAACTGCAGCTTGGACACATGTTTGCCTTAACATATTTAACTTTTATGTTTTACATTTTACATGCTCCATTATTCTACTCTTATCTTTTAAAATTGTTGAAATTGTTGACGGAGCATAACCATATGCTTTGCAAATGGATGATGATTTTTCACCACTCTCTGATCTCTTTATTATTTCTACTTTATCTTCCAAGGAGATTGTTTTTCTTTTCTTTGCTGTGCCAGCACTTGCATCAGCTTTTTGCTTTGGAGGCATTATTGCAGGGTAAAAAAATACACTGTACTGTAATGTACTGTATGAGAGAAACTCTGCTCTCCTTTACACAGCACACGCTGCCCCCTCCCCCCTGCACAGACGGAGGATCACTTCAGTGAGCAGCCTGACAGCCTCTCCTTTCCTCTCCCCGGAGGTGCAGACAGACAGTCTTAAATCACTTTGGAGATAGTGGGCAGACACTGCTAGCCCCACAAGTAACGAGCAATGGATGTCTCTGTCTCTTATGTCTCTCTGATGTCTCTTATCAGCTAGTCTCTTATCAGCTTGCTGCACAAGAATGCTGACAGCTTGACTTCCGGTCCCGAGGGAAGTGTACGTAAGTATGAGTATTACGTAAGCCGAATGTACTTAACTCGGGGACTGCCTGTACATCTCTCTGAACAGTGTCTGGGAGGCTGTGGTTGATGCTGCACTAAAAGTCAATTGTCAACAGATCAAGAAACTAACAGACTCCATGAATGAAAGGCTTAAGATTGTTATTGAAAATAAGGGTGGCTATATTGGTTATTGATTTGTTCTTTAAATATCAGAAATTTTATTTGTAAATTTTTTGTTGTTTATTATTCTCACTTTAACAGAAGAAAACAAACAAGTGAGATGGGAAAAATGTGCATTTTTCATTTAGCTGCATAATAATTGTGCACACTACTAGTTGCCCAATAATTGTGCACACATAGATATTCTCCTAAGAAAGCGAAAACCTTACTTTTACTTTCTTAAATATTCAGGTTTGGGATTTATTAAAATTGTGGATTGACTGAGAGCACTGTAGTTCAATAATGAAATTAATCCTTAAAAATACAACTTGCCTAATAATTGTGCACACAGTGTAGACATATGTGACGCTCAATAGTTTAGGGTTGCTAATATACCAGTCCAGTACAGGGTATATATACAGTATATGTTTTTATCCGTCCAGGATATACAATATATTTCGCTCCATAAGACGCACTTTTTCCCCCAAAAAGGGGGGGAATGTCAGTGTGTATTATGGAATGAATATGGAGCGGCCGGTAGGGTATTCCTGCCGCCGCCGCTGCCGTGTCAGAATACCGGGCTGGCTGCTCGGCTCTTCTCTGCAGCAGAACCTTACCTGTTCCCCGGTCCAGCGCTGTACAGTCTTCAGACGTCGGCATCTTTAGTGTGGGCACCCGGCTCTGACATCTGCGCTTTGTGAATGGTCCGGCATCTTCTGGGACACATGACAGGTCCCAGAAGACCCCGGACCATTCAAAAAGCGCAGCACTTCTCGCGCTTGCGAAGTGGGCACCCGGCTGTCACAGCCGGGTGCCCACACTAAAGGGAGGACAACTCCGCAGAAGTGGGAGCGGGTACCTGTCAAATTCAGGTACCCACTCCCCCTCCGTCCCCAAAGGTCCGCAGTCTCTTGATCATCTCCTGTACTGTCTGCAGTCTCTGGTCATCCCCTGTACTGTCTGCAGTCTCTGGTCATCCCCTGTACTGTCTGCAGTCTCTGGTCATCCCCTGTACTGCCTGCAGTCTCTGGGTCATCCCCTGTACTGTTTGCAGTCTCTGGTCATCTCCTGTACTGTGCAGTTTGCAGTCTCTGGTCATCTCATGTACTGTGTCCACAGTCTCTGGTCATCCTCTGTACTGTGTCTGCAGTCTCTGGTCATCTCCTGTAGTATGTCCGCAGTCTCTGGTCATCTCCTGTAATGTCTGCAGACTCTGGTCATCTCCTGTACTATGTCCGCAGTCTCTGGTCATCTCCTATACTGTCTGCAGTCTCTGGTCATCTCCTGTAGTATGTCCGCAGTCTCCGGTCATCTCCTGTACTGTCTGCAGTCTCTGGTCATCCCCTGTACTGTGTCCACAGTCTCTTGTCATCTCCTGTACTGTATGCGCAGTCTCTGGCTATCTCCTGTACTGTGTCTGCAGTCTCTGGTCATCTCCTGTACTGTGTCCTCAGTCTATGGTCATCTCCTGTACTGTGTCTGCAGTCTCTTGTGATCTCCTGTACTATGTCCCCAGTCTCTGGTCATCTCCAGTACTGTGACTGAAGTCTCTGGTAATCTCCTGTACTATGTCCACACTCTCTGGTCATCTCTCATACTGTGTCCACAGTCTATGGTCATCTCCTGTACTGTGTCTGCAGTCTCTGGTCATTTCCTGTACTATGTCTGCAGTCCATTGGTTCAGAATATTTTTTTTCTTGTTTTTCACCTCTAAAACCTAGGTGCGTCTTATGGTCAGGTGTGTCTTATGGAGCAAAAAATACGGTAGTTTTCTGGATATCTCTTTTTATATGTATTATTATATTGTATTTGTAAGAAATGTATTTTGTTTTTGTATATAAGTGTTTTGTGGTGTGCCAATAAAATCCGTACATATTTGTGATCTCCTGTACTATGTCCCCAGTCTCTGGTCATCTCCTGTACTGTGTCCGCAGTCTCTGGTCATCTCCTGTACTGTGTCCGCAGTCTCTGGTCATCTCCTGTACTATGTCCGCACTCTCTGGTCATCTCTTATACTGTGTCCACAGTCTATGGTCATCTCCTGTACTGTGTCTGCAGTCTCTGGTCATTTCCTGTACTACGTCTGCAGTCCATTGGTTCAGAATATTTTTTTTTTCTTGTTTTTCACCTCTAAAATCTAGGTGCATCTTATGGTCTGGTGCGTCTTATGGAGCAAAAAATACGGTAGTTTTCTGGATATCTCTTTTTATATGTATTATTATATTGTATTTGTAAGAAATGTATTTTTGTTTTTGTATATAAGTGTTTTGTGGTGTGCCAAGAAAATCCGTACATATTTGTGATCTCCTGTACTATGTCCCCAGTCTCTGGTCATCTCCTGTACTGTGTCCGCAGTCTCTGGTCATCTCCTGTACTGTGTCCGCAGTCTCTGGTCATCCCTGTACTGTCCGCAGTCTCTGGTCATCCCTGTACTGTGTCCGCAGTCTCTGGTCATCTCCTGTACTGTGTCCGCAGTCTCTGGTCATCTCCTGTACTATGTCCGCAGTCTCTGGTCATCTCCTGTACTGTGTCCGCAGACTCTGGTTATCTCCTGTACTATGTCTGCAGTCTCTGGTCATCTCTTGTACTGTGTCTGCAGTCTCTGGTCATTTCCTGTACTACGTCTGCAGTCCATTGGTTCAGAATATTTTTTTTCTTGTTTTTTCACCTCTAAAATCTAGGTGCATCTTATGGTCTGGTGCGTCTTATGGAGCAAAAAATACGGTAGTTTTCTGGATATCTCTTTTTATATGTATTACTATATTGTATTTGTAAGAAATGTATTTTGTTTTTGTATATAAGTGTTTTTGTGGTGTGCCAATAAAATCCGTACATATTTGGGAGCTGGTGAAGAGTTCTCTTCTCCAAGATAAAAAAAATGAATTGTCCATTAAAATATAAAATAAAAAAGCTGCTTTTGCAGAAATATTCACCTTCAGCCCAGAGCTAGACCACACTAGACCTCTTTTCTACCACTGGACATCCTGAAGACTGACATCCAGCATTACTTAACCCACATTCTCAAACCGCAATCTTTGATGGACCCACTCTGTGATAGATAGGATGACAGGACAGTAAAACAGAAGCAGCACAATGATAAGCTCATTTGTTGCCCGCTCTATCTTTCTATTACCAGCTTGCTTCTTCTTAGCACATGAGCTTATTGACTTCTTGTACTGCTTCTTCCTCTCATGCTAGGGCCCTGCTGTATATGGAATGTAAGAGAACGATACAGGTCAAATTCATGTACTTACAATGCTTGCAATAAAAATACATTTAATTATTTGAGTTCACACTAGCCTGCAGGATGCGGGTTGGTTGCGGGTGCAAGAACCACGCCTGTTCCCGCACCCGCAACCAGCAGAATTGTGGTGCTCTTGCTTGTCGCACAAGGCTGCCATTCATTCTGAATTGCTTCTCCACGCATCTCAGCCCACAGGGCGATCGCAGGTGTGGGAACAGCAGGGAAACCGCATGGTCAAAAAGACCATGCGATTTCCCTGTGGATATGCTTTTTGTACAGGACATGTGGAACAGCAGCCCACAACACGATTACAGGTGTGGGAACAGCAGGGAAACCGCATGGACAAAAAGACCATGTGATTTCCCTGTAGCCTCGTTTTTGAAAAGGTGCATGCATTGTTTTTTTGCAGGACATGTGGCAAATTAATGGGCTGCGGTGACCAAGTAAACATGGGCTGCACGGCCCAAAACTAGTATGAATCAAGCCTTAGAGTCACCGGCTCTTTTCTCAGTGAAGACAGAGACCTGAGCGATCAGTGGTCTTTGATCACTCAGTTCACAATCTTAGAGGTGGCAGGGGACAGATGCAGTATTGGACTGATGCTGCATCCCCCTAGGTGAGTCTAAATGTATGGGTTTTTTTTACATCCCGAACTTCTCTTTTAATTGTTCAGAAAGTCACAGTGGCCAATTTAGGATGGCAATTGTTTCTCATAGATATGAGTATACTTATAGGGATGTTGTTACAGTAGAAGTCCATTTGAAAGCTGAAATGGAAAGTATAGCTTTAGTTGAAGTCTTCAAAGCATAACTCATAACCCTTTCATGCAGGCTTTCCAGTCAGGTCCACCTTTTAGTTTTTTAGGTTGAATTCACGAGAAACTCCATGCAACTCTATAAGGGCAGGCAGATGTTAATGGACTTGGGTCCACTTACATCCACCTACCTCTGAATCCATCCAGGTCTGGAAAAAAAAACTGAAAATGATTGAATCCTTTTCCATTGTATTTGATCTCAGGTCAGGTCTGCCTGTAATGTTTTGCAGATGGAACTCAATGGAAGCTCCATGCAGCTCTCTATGGGGCAAACAGATGTCCATTCAGGTCTGGAAAAATAACTGAAAAGGACTGCATTCTTTTACATTTGTTCTAGACCTAAATGTGATAGATCAGAGGTAGCCTGATGTAAACGTACACAAGTCAGTTTTCATTCGGCCAATCATAGGGCCATCACAGGTCTGCCACAGTCTGCTATTACAATGTGGACACAAACTGAATGTGCATGGATGTCACAAAATTGGCATCTGTCTTGTTCTGCACCAATTCAGCAGGGTACCTGTTTACTGATCCCCTGCTGAACAGAACACAGCATCCTTTTAAAGAGCCCTAAATTTTAGTTACCTTAATACAGATGTCCCCTTTGTCCTGAGCACCTCACCAATTCCCATCAAACCTGGTTTTCAGTGTATTGTAAAAAAAAAAAAAAAATTGAGATATTAAAGAAGGGGAGGAGGTCACTCTTTTACTCTTCTATCTTTCTGATATTTTAGAATGTACTTGAAGAACATCAAATATTATTGCAAGTAATAGGGTTGCAGAAAAGTTTCAAATCTTGGAAAATGCAGAACCCGAAAATGTTACAGCTTTGTATAGTATACAACCAAAGAGCTTTATCTATAGATTTCTTCCTTGGACTAAGCAGCTCTTTATCATTCACCTGTCACATCCTCAAGGCAGCCATTCTGTGACCTGAAAACGTTGCTCAATCCATTTATTTCTTGAAGACAAAGAATATCTTTAATGGCAGAAGTCACTCTGTGTCTCACGCCTCGAACCCCTGTTTCCTTGAGAATGTTTAAATTGCATTCTCTGCAATACTGTACTGACTGACCCATTATATAATTTAAGTTTCTCATAAAATTATAATGCTACACTGGTAGGGTATCTGCTTATAGCCCAGCTGTGAAAAAAATTAGCTCTTTTCCTTTTACAAATGTCTTATATATTTGGAGAATTCTTTCATATTTAACAGTATAGAATAGCAGGAATTATTTTTTTTTCTCTAGTCCACACATTCTTACATTTCGTATGGGGTTGTATTGTATCTCAAGGGAACTCATTATTTAGGGATTAAACAGTTTTTTTTTTCTTAAGAAGAATGAATTGTTTCAGCCTCTTTTGAGATATGCAGTATGCATTTTGGGTTGATGCCATATACTGAAATTAGATATTTTTTTTGGAACCATCTTACCAAATCATCCAAAAGAGCTGATCATTAAATTGGGAATGGATAGTGAACTAGTAATTTTCAGTAAATAATATGAATATCTACTGCCTAATGAAAAGAAGCTGAAAACGGCCTTCAAGGCTAGTTGCAAATGATGACACAGTACAAGTTTCTAAAGTTAGGAGGTCTTTACCTGACAGGAAAACCAAGCCAGTTGGTTAATTTAACAATTGTTTGTGGAACTGCAAAGTATTGACTACATGATCAAATTAAACATAGCAACATTTTTCAGGGCAGATAGCACATAGGCCAAGGTACTAATGTGGGGGGCAGCCACTGCTGGCTTCCTTTGGGAAAATGCTAGTTTCCATGCCTTTAATATTTTCTGAAATACTGACCTTGAACTTAAAAGAGAAGTAAGGGATTTCCTTTTTTTTAAAAAAAAAAAATCATACTCACCTAGGTGGATGCAACATTGGTCCAGTGTTGCATCTGTTGCCTTCCAGCTCTAGATGTGAGAACTCAGTGATGACATGGCTGCTGATCGCTGAGGTCTCACAGCCGCTCTGAGCAGCTCACCAGGTCAAGATCTTTCCCCAGCCTGGACTGGCTGAGTAACGTCAGCAGACTGTGGGCTTTATTATTATTATTATTATACAGTATTTATATAGCGCCGAAGGGTGTGCTCAGCACTGTACATTAGCGAGGGGGACAGAACATGAGACAATACAGTACAATACAATACACGAGGGGTTCGAGGGCCCTGCTCTTTCGAGCTTACAATCTAGGCCGATGTCATCTGAAAACAGGTCACAGGAGTGCAGAATGAACTGCACTCCTGTGATCCATATAAGTACAGCCAAAAGAGCTTTGGCTGTACTTCTCCATTAAATGCTTTTAAGAAGACAATTTTAACAAAGTAAACTGTGCAGATATCC